TGTCAATAGTGAAGGCAGATACGAAGTACAGGTACCCTGGATACCAGGAGCAGAGATGAGCAACACAAATGAGGAACCCAGTAGAAGACGTCTACAGAACGTTGAAAGGAAGCTAAGTCAGAATAGTAAACTCGAAGCTGAGTACAGAAAGATAGTGACAGACCAGTTGGAGATGGGCGTGGTCGAGAAAGTACCTGACACACCTAGGGGAGACCGCGTGTTCTACATGCCTCACAAGCCTGTAGTAAGAGAAAATGCTAGCACGACCAAGGTGAGAATGGTSTTCGATGGAAGTGCCAAACCACACCCATTAGCCAACAGCKTGAACGAGTGCATGTACACTGGACCACCTCTACAGCCACTACTCTGTGACATTCTTATCAGAGCACGAATGTCACCACAACTATTACTGGCAGACCTTGAGAAGCCGTTTCTACAAATAACCATTGCAGACAGAGAACAGAGATGCATTCAGGTTTCTCTTCAACATTAACGGCAGAGAGGAACACCTACGATTCGCTAGAGTGCCGTTCGGAGCCGAAGCCACTCCATTTATGCTAGGTGCCACACTACGACATCACTTCGACAATGTGAAGACCTACAAGATACCGTAACCTCGCTTAAAGAAGACACATACATTGACAACTTAATCAAAACTGCATCTGACATTGAGAATCTCCATCGATTCAAGCGAGAAGCGACTGCAATTCTTGAAAAAGCAAAATTTCCTGTACATAAGTGGGAGTCCGACGTACTAGAGCTTGATACCGAGTCAAACCCATCCAAGATACTAGGTTACCTATGGGACAAGCGATCAGACAAACTCGAAGTCAAGGGAGAAGAGATTGCTAKAAGCGAAGATCAAGTGACGAAAAGAGGTATCCTTAGTAGCCTATCCAGTTTGTACGATCCACTTGGCTTGATATCACCGACGTTAGTTCGAGGCAAAGAAATCTACCGTGATGCATTGACGAAAACAAGAGCTGCAACGCCACAGTGTCAGACGACATTGCAGTGAGATGGAGTAAGTGGACCAGTAACCTATGCAACCTATKAATTGCCTGTCATTGTTCTCTAGGCCGGATTAGCTCGCTAGTGGCAATTGATTTATTTAAAGATTAAAGATTAAAGTGAAAGTGCCCAGGAGTATAGCATCACTGGTGTCCACTTACATTTRTTTGAAGATGCGAGTAAGACAGGAGCGTGTTCTACAGTAGCCATAGCGGTTATTGAACATTCAACGGGAGTGATTAAAGGAATGTTAACATCGAAGTCAAGGATATCAAAGCGAAACACGACCATACCGAGACTAGAGCTGATCAGCGGACATATGGCAGCAAACATGGCAAAGAACATCAACACCGCCTTACAACGCTGGCCCATAAAGTCAATCACCATCTGGATGGATAGCATGACGTGTCTTTACTGGATTTTCAACCCTGGAAAACCATGGAAAGTCTTTGTTTCCAATCGCGTCAGGGCGATAGCAAAAATCACCAACGACCTCAAGATCAACTGGAAGTACTGTCCATCGAACATGAATCTAGCTTATCTAGGAAGTCGGGGTGCATCACTTAACAAGATGGAGACTGGACAGTGGTTCGAAGGACCTGACTKGTTGCTCGATAAAGACGAATGGCCAAGTCAGCCGAAGCTTGAGAGTTCAACTAGCGTCTGTGAGGAGAGCAGCCCAACCAAAACTGTGTTTCATACCTCGTCACGGACAATGTTGTCACAGACTTAGGAGCGATCCATTAGAATTTTGATGGTGGGGGCCTCGAAGATTTTGAAGAAAATCCCGCAAAAAACTTCCATCAAGGCAAAATTTTGACAAATCTGCACTAAAGCTTTTGTAAATTTACTAAAAAAATTACAACGCGCGCCTGAAGTCCTCAAAAAAAATTCTTGGACAAAATCTTTCACTCCCCCCCTTCCCCGCCTAAAAATTCTAATGGCTCACCCCATATTTGTATCCAGGGATGCTTTCCAGTTAGGCAGAACTGGCCGGCCAGTCCACTCTATTTAGAGGTATATGATACTTTTTGTCAACATTTTTCAGTCATTTCGAGGTTTTCTGTAGAATAATGGATAGAATTTGAAAATTTGAATTTCCTAACTAAATGAGAAAGATAGATAATGACATTTTCTCTGGGTTTGGCCAGCAAGTTCTGACAAATGGAAAGAGCACCAGATAATCCGCGCATTTTGCTAAACGCGCGTCGATAAATGAAAGCGTGTAGAGCTCGTTTCTTTTCTCGTTTGTTCTTTTTTTTGGGCAGCCCCTGGTCACACGTGATAGTCAGAGTGTGTGATAGCACATGCAAAGCGATAGAATCGTTATCTGGGTCGCGTCAAGCTCTCAAATAGCCTTTGCGCGATGATTAACTGGCAACCAATTGCTTTGGGTTAAAATTTACCTACATATAAAACATGTGCAAACAAAGCAATATCAGCTAACAGTTATCTTTTTATTATCAGTTATCAGCTAAATAAACCCGAAATTCTCAGTTAACAGTTATTATTTTAGCCGTTTCTCAGTTAACAGTTAATTAACCCATTCAGACCCTGTGGAAGGCGAACAGTAAGGGAATTGTTTCCCAATTTTTAACCAAATTCTTGGTGTGCAACCACGTGACCAAGAATCCCTCGAGAAGTATAGAACAAATCTGTTGCCGCCATGTTGGATGAATGAACAAGAGAAACTAATGAGGAATGCTTTGTGATTTTMATCCAAAATGGCGGCGATGACCTAACTTGCACTCCAAGAATTACTGTAAGTTAACCCAAATCAGTGCCCTCTTACATATTTAAAAAAGAAATATCACAAAAATGCAATGCGTTTTTAGAGGGTCTCAATAGGGATAACCGTGAGCCGTGAAAACCGTAAGTCGTGAAAAATTAGCCGTGAATCGTGAAAATGAGAAAAAAATTAAGCCGTGAGGCGTGAAAAATCCAAATTTTTAGCCTTGAGACCCTATTTTTAGCACTGAYAAGAGTCTCTGCAACTTTGCTGTCTTTTTCTTGATAAATATGCAAAGTATGCTATTAATCATGCATGGGTTAKTTTTTAATCGAGCAAACGCAGGATCGAAAGCCATGAAATAAAATCAAACTAAATACTTTAGGGACAATTTGTCATTATCAATGAACCATAACGCAATAAAAATGAATGAAAAATGGTCCCATKTGGATTCATCTTCATTATGTTCTGGTTTATTGATACTGACATATTATCTCTAAAGCCGCTATTTTTTAGTTTTAGTTTTATTTTATTTCATGTTTTCTCTATGTGTTTGTCCAATGTTTCTGTGAAGTTAAATAAATCAGCAAGCGTCTGTACAAACCAATCTTTGCAATTGCKCCAGTTCCAGACCTACCACTACGGAAATACATGCTCGCTTCTCTAGTATGAGCCGGATGTGACATAAGACGCATATTKTGTCCTAGATTGGGTTTAAACCTAATTAGATGCCCACTAAAAATAAGAAAGACAAAACAAATATTTCGAAAACTTTTAATTATCAAAATCGATGACTTGCTATATGTTGATAACATAAATGCTGTGTCCTGGCTTATCTTGTCACATCGACCGAAGGAAGAAATATAAAACTGACCTGAGGGCTGAAAAGATTACCAGCTYACYAWACGTCTTTCACAAATTGTTATATTTTGCATCTCGTTTCACACWTGACCAGTAAGCCGATTAATATATTCAGTTTGTGTAAATCAAAAAGTATATTTCGAAATTAAGTTAGCCGTTCCACAATGTCATCTACACAATACCCTGAACTACACGCTAGAGACATCAATAGCAGAACACAGCTCGCTGATGCGATCGAAACTGAACCTCAAGTGGAAGTAGTTGAGCTCGAAGATCGTGAAAACTGGTCAAATAAGCTTGATTTCTTACTATCTTGTATTGGGTATGCTGTAGGACTTGGCAATGTCTGGCGATTTCCATACCTGTGTTATAAGAATGGAGGAGGTAAATCATATTTATATAATTACTTCAAAAACTCTATGTTAGYTTTTGAAAAAGTTCTTTGTGATGAGTTATGCGCAAGTTAAATCTCTGAAAAGTCTTTGTAAACACTAAATAATCGGTGTTTTTGTCATGCAAAGATTTTAGTCTATTATTCCTGGTAGTGTATATTTCTTGTTCTTGTAAGTTTCTTAAAACAGTGAATTTGAACTTCAATAAACGAGGCCAATATTGACTACAAATCACAGAAAAACAATACTAATTTTTGAWTCGGATTTTTAAATCTAATATTGAATCGGCCATTTCACCGCGAAAGTCTGAAAAACTGCAGCACTTCGAATTAAGGCCAAATTTACTATCCATTGGTGTGCAAACGTTTGGAAGCCATGGCATAACGCCCACAACTCGATTGAATCGTGCATTTTTTGAAGGTTATAATTTTTTTCCAAGTGCGGGACTGATACATTTGACAAACTGGTTAAACTCTTTGGCTTTGCTTTATTTTCAACGGTTGATTGAGCCTTATCCGTTTGAGTATTAACCTCGGTAATCTTGCGCTGTATTGAACGAAATCAGTGAAGTTTTTTTTAAAAATGTGGACCACTACAGTTGTTTTTGACCATATGACTCGTCACTAGTTTTATTTAGCTTATTTATAGCCTGAACTCTTACCTATATCAATATGATGAAAAGTCTTGAGTGATGCCAAAATCAATCTACCACGTTAACAATTTCAACGATAAATGTTTAATTGGAACTTCTTACTCTTCTGAATATCTTTTAAAATATACTAAATATACAGTATGAAACTGCGATAAATGGAATCATTAACGTCATGATTTCATTACCAAAACAACACTTTTAAAGAAGATAATTCTGTATAATTCTCAGTACAATTTTCAAAAACAACAATTAATTAATTCGAAAATATTCAATTTTGTGAATTATTCAAAATCAAAGAGATAGATTTTCTTCAAAATCTATGGTGATGTTTTGGTAATAAAATATGTAGTTAAGG